CATAATTCCTATCAATCGATACATAATTTACTATCAATCGATACATAATTTACTATCAATTGATACATAATTCCCTAAATTCTATATGTGCTTGTCCCAAGTCAGGAGCCTATAATTCAGTGGTTGTCGTTTGTTGCTGTTTATCATATTTGTTTTTCGTTTATTGTTTTGCACATAAACTAGACTGTTAGTTTTCTCGTTTTGATTGTTTTACATTTGTCAGGTCGGGGCCTTTGATAGCTTGCTATGCGGTATGGGTTATGCTCATTGTTGAAGGCCGAACGATGACCTCCATTTGCTTACTTCAATTTCATTTGGTCTCTGTTGGATGGTTGTCAAATTGGCAATCACACCATATCTTCATTTTTTTACTTCTTAGTGGACCTTGAAACATTTAGTTTATTCTATTGATAATGAAATATTGATGATAACAATAGTAACCACCAATATTTCATTATCAAAAGAATAAACTAAAGGTTTCAAGGTCCATTTGTCCGTCGCTTGGTATCTATGGTCTTTGAAAAGGGCTGTTCCAACATCAAATAAACCCTATTCAGCCTAAATTAGACCCAGACCCGTTTTGAAAATTTTCAAAATACTTTTGTTTGCATCTTTATTTCAGATCTAAAAATATCAATATAATTAAAAAGGTATTCGCACAGTCATGGTTTTCCTCTGACCAAAACAATATGGAGAATTTTCCAAAAGGTCTTTTCATGCAATATTCCATTTAATTATAAGCTTTGATAAGATTAGCTTTAAAATGTAGGATCATTCAAGATAAAATGTGATATCCTACATGGTTCAAAAGGGAGCCTTAATGGCTTCATTTTGCAGATGTGTCACCCGATATTTAAGAACTTATTATCTTCATTCCAACAAACTTTGGAACAATTACCATTTAGATAAGTAATCAAATTACTTAAAATAAGGATAAAGTAATGTCTGTGGCGTCTACGTTCTTCGTCCAGTGGGAACGAAATGAAGGAATAATATGAAGAGCTCCTACCCTTTATCAATGCATTGTTCTGTTCTAGTAAACGATGAAAATATGACCCACCAGTGTTAAATGGTAATCGATTCACTTACAAAGTAATTAATAAAAATAAGCAGCATTGTAATAAAAGAAATTAAAAAAAACAAATTTTTACATTCGATTACTATGTTTAAATTCTTAAAAGTCGTTATCAACGATTTTTTTATACGATATTTATATAAAGAATAAGAAACTCCACAGAAAAACGACAATTCAGTAACCTTCAGTTTCTAGGAAAAGTGTTTTCTCGTGTTTTGTAATAAAAAATGAAATGTTTAATCATGTCAGGCTTTGGTATTAGGCCATTCAATTGTTTTCAAAGAAAAATGAATATCACGGTAAATAAAAAAATCATTTCACAAGCAATTAAGAATAGCATACCAATTAGTAAATTATCAATTATCAGATGAATTTAAGTTATCATAATGGATTAACAGCTGAGTTAAAATACGGAGATGTGGTATGATGGTGAATGAGTCAACTACCCATCATAGTCCAAATGACATGGACGTAAGCTTCTATATGTCATCGAACGGCTTGCGGCATGTCCATTATGAAATTAAAACCTGATTTACCAAATATTTTGTGTTTCAGTGTTCTTGATGAAGGTTCTAGTAAATCCAGAAAAGCGCTTCGGACGCACGATTTATAAGGTTGTTTTGTCATCTGAATTTTAGCGATTCTAATTGTGTTCACCCAGATATTTAGACAGTTTTATACCATGTGTAACAAGTGTGCATAATCTTAATATACAATATTAATTTTGGTTTCTGAGGACCTAAACAGCATTATAGTTATGCATTTTGCAAGTTTGTAGTCAAAAGGTAAAGAGATATCAAAGGGGAACAGGAGACGACGGCGCATAGAGAATGATGCAAGGTAAATTGTATATAAATTATATCCTTAAAAAGTTTGAGCCTTGGAGATTATACCTTTATACCGGTACCTGTTATCTTAGTTACCCATTCATTACAGAATTGGAAATTTTATACAATGTCTCAAGTCAACTTTATTTCAAGATGCAAGAACTATGGCCTAATATTGTAAGATATTTTAGAAAAATAGCTTACACACACCTTTTTACCAAATCATAAACTGTTGGCACAGAGATATGTCTCGCCTAATTGTTATTTCGATAGTATAATGTAATTGCCGAAATTTATATACTTAAGATAGGAAACATTTAAATTTCGTATTAATAATATGTTTAAATCAACAGACTTTAACTTTGATTTTGATTATTATGCCGTCTCTCGATTAATCATCGCAATTAACAAGTGAGGATGTCGTAAAAGGCAAGTCTAAATGAAACAAGACAGCAATCAAAACAGACATTGAGGACATACAGAATAGACAACTTTCGTCAGTTATATGAGAACCAAAGAGTTAGGCAGTCTTTGAATATGATTGTATTTCTAGAATCAGAAATCTGAAAATCTCACTTTATGTTGATGGAAAAGATTGAATAAATTTAGGCAACAGTATAGTTTACGGTAATCGATGTTCAAATCTCATAAATTTATTAAGGAGAGACAAATCATAGTAACAACCAAAAACTGAGGGAATCGTATGACCTCCAAAATAAAAGGAGCGGGATTGGGTGCGTCGACAGGATAAGCATCTTCTGCTGTCTATACATTACCTGCTGTTGTTGTGGTTGTGTCTATGTAAACGATGTGTGTAACTTTGGAACACTTAGATAATGGGTTTACGAAAAAAAGATTAAGATAAAGATTATTGTTACACTGTCATATACAATATATGATATTTTTTTGTAAAAATAATAGAGTTGAATGTAACTGTAGCTATACTAAATAAACTAGTATGTTACTGCGTGATGTGAGGGGTCTGAATTGCATATTTCAAAGTCACATTTTCGCACCACTTCATGAGTGTGACAGTACTTCCGAAGGTCGGTTTGCGCATGGAGCTAGGTACGCATGACATGCAATAAGTACCCGAACAGACAGGGGATCAAATGAAAATGACTAATAAGGTGTTTCTGCCACATCATGTTAAGCTTTTAAAACCACGTGATCTAAGATACTATAAAGAACTGGATCATTAAAATGAGGTGAAAGAAAAACGACGAAAATATAATGTTATGATCTGAGTAGACCACTTACATTACGTAATCTTCATTCATGGAGGTGTATCTTCATTGCTCGTGCCACTAATGTCAGTTTGTATATATTTTGTTGTACATAACACCTAAGATACTTTACATTTATATGTTGCAATGTTAATTAAATCTGATTATGAACTATTTAAAACATACAAAAAAAGATAATATATGATTCGTATCAACTAAGAAGCTAATAAAAACGTTTCTTGTACGAAATATCTCATTTCATATCAAGACTTTTTCATTGATGTATTCAGTGGTTGTTCTACATAACATAAAAAGAAACTTCACACATATACCTTTCCTTTTATCCTTATTTCAGAAATAAATCTTCTAAATCAATTAAGTTACGGCTTACATTAAATAAAATAATATGTAGTTTGATATGGAAATTATTTCTTTTTCGTTTTTTGTTCTAGTAATATGAACTGATTTCATCGAAAGTAAAACATGAAAAAACTGTAGGCATCTATATAAAAGACCAATCTTCGAATGTTATTAAATATCACGACATAATTTATTTTAACCACAAGTTTCTTTACTTTTACAAACATTGTTTTATTACATGTTCATAAGACCTTTAAAATAGAAGTTTTAATAGAATAAAAAAGTCATTCTAAAGAAGCTATGTTTTATATACAATCTAAAGAAGCTATGTTTTATATACAATTGTTTTATACTACAAGCTTCTTGCATGGTAGATTTTAATGAATAAGTAAGATTACAATTTTTACAATGGAATTGCAACATTTTTTCATAAACATAAATACACATAAAATGTTATTCTAAACTGTCTTGAAACCATAGAAAAATGACTGTGAGAAATAGACTTATTTAATCTTTCTATATAATCCAAATATGTTCAATTATTGAAATCTTAAAGACATCTTGTCAAATTTTTTAGCTTATCCGGTAGGGAATATTCATAAAACTATAGGCTGTAAAGAGTCTCTGTTGCTCACCTGGATCCACGTGTATCTTCAACTATAACCACTCTCAAACATTGTGGAATAGAATATAATTCATTATTTAAATCTCTTTTTTGTTGATTATGTCTTGCTGATCATTTCTACTATTTACATCTACTATCTATCTACTATATATGTTGCTCAAAATCCCCCAAAAATACCATTTAAGCGCAATAACTCCTATAATGAGTCAACTGAAAATTTGTGCTGGTATGTTCTCTTATTTGTCTTGCTGGTAATTTTTGCTGTTTACAGTTTTTCTTTATCTACCAATTTCCCCCAAAAATTCATAAATGGGTAAAAATCATAATTAAAGGGCAATAACTAAAAAAAAAGGTAAACATCATCATTTAAGGGCGATGGAAAATGTATGGAATCAACTGACGATTTCAGCCATATTTGTTTACTTGCAGAACTTGTCTTGTTGATCATTTTTCCTATTTACAGTTTCTATCTTTCTTTATTAATTTTCAAGATAATAGGCAAAAGCGCAAAAAAATGGTAACAATCTTTATCAAAGGGCAATTACTCCCAATAAGGACTCGTCTGACGATTTCGGCCTTGTTCACTTATTCGTAGATTTTGACATGTTGTTCATTTTAGATTTTCAAAGTTCTGACAGTATTTATTCAAATGGACAGTACTAGGTACACCAAGATCTCGTAATTCTAAACATTTATGCACTGTCAAATCTTTCTCTTATCTATAGTGGTTTTCAAAATTGACAAAACTTGCATTTTACACGCATGTTCTACTTTTGCCATGTCGGCCTGGTTGGTCGGCACGCGGGATCATCGAACATAATTTTTAAACTAAAGATACCACAATGATGATTATGGTCAATTTTGTTCGATAGAGGAGAAGACTTTTGTAAACGTTACCGGACGACGGACACCAATTTGTTAGAATAGCTTACTTGACCCTTCGGGTCAGATGAGCTAAAAAGAGCATCCACGTTGTAATTAGAAGTGAGTTTAAATTAAACAGTTTCTATTTCCACTTTATATATTTATCATTTAACAGTTTTCCTGTCATAATCTGAATCAGTTTGATTTTGATTAATTATTGCTGGTATAATTCCAACTATCTGTAGAATAATATCCAAGATTAACACTGCGAACCACTTGGCATGATTGGAATGGCTTGCCATCAGATTCTGGCAGTTGTTCTTTTAACTGACATTTTTCAAAATAAAATGAAAGAGATATAATTCTCCTTGTTGACGATGAATTTAATTGGTATTAACCAAAATTATTTCCATTAAATGTTTAAAGACATTACATATAATGAATATCGACATCATTTTTTCTCTCAATTATTCTATACAGCAGTATATTAATTTTACCTACTTTAAATTTATAACCCTTAGAAAGCTCATCAATCTCCATGTTGTACAAAATAAAATATGCCAGTTTTATAATATTTTTTTTCTTCTTCTTTTTTGTTTTGCAGACTGTTACATATTATACACCTCGTAATGGGCATCACCCAGTATCTATTATTTGTTTTACACTCGATATCATTAATCGGCCTCCAGTTCATACATCTAACATATTGATGAAGTCTTCATTGGGAATTGAGAACAACTCGAGTGAAAACTTTAGCATGTAGCTCTCGCTGTGTTAGGTGGGACTTATTATCTACTACGAATCAATATCAAAGACAACTTGCTACAGAAACGGAGATGTTTACTTTCCGACAGGTAGCAGCAGATAATTGCTGCACGTGAAATGTTGTCGTCTGTTGATTTAAAATTTAAATCTGACATATAGGATAGCTTCAAATTAATTTAGTAAAGGTAAGTTACAACTTATTATATAATCAAATTTTATCTAATTACTATTTATGTGGGAGTGAAAATAAAAAAATCTGAAAAACACAGTTATCAAATAATAAAAAACTTAATATCATTATCTTTCTTTATAACTCTCCAATAATTATGACTTGTTTATTCTAAGTTGTTCTTGCGTTTAAGTTTATTGTTTAGATTTAACAAGGTAGCGGCATTCCAACAATTAAAATTATGACAACTTAGTGACTTTTTATTTTGCATTTATATAGGAACAAGTAATTGATGTTTTTGTTTCATCAACACTTACTATTACAAAAATCATCTACTTTTAGAATATCTAACGAACAAACAATAACCAAGTATTGAATGAAAAACAACATCTGCAACTTACAAATAATACTAATAAACACATATTTATATTTATTATATTCATATATTAAGTGAAATATTTAATACGATTTGACAAACCTCCATTTTTGATGAATAAGAATACGAAAAGGTCATTATTGTACTACATAAGAGCAATCCACGATAAAGTACAAAAACTGAACATGATTTGAAAGAAATTCAATTTATTCAGTCATGCAATGTAAAGTATATGTTTAACATACTATCAATAGTACTTATTATAAGTAAAATCTTGCCGAGACGCAAACTCAAATTAGAAATTTCCATACATTAACATTGTTTTCAGTTCGAACTATTATAATAAAATACAAAACAAAGTAACATTAAGTATCTAAATGAAAAATGGGTAAAGAATTATTTGAAAATACTATTTATCTTTAGCGCTACAATCGCACAGTGCACACAGCTGCAACTGTTTGGTTTCATCTGTTTAATGTTGCTGTCTATGATAAAGACGAAATGCTTCTGATTTCCGATTGAGAAAATTCATTTCTGTTCATTTACTTATAAAGACGCACGAAGTTTTGACTAGTTTTACAAAACATTACGATTTAAAGTACATAAAACTATTACATCAAACAAAACAATCTGAGATAAACAGTTGCTTCATAATAATAAAAGTTCGGTTGAAATAACAGTCGCGTTGTCTGGCTGTGTTAATTTCATAAAACTGCAGAATGATCTGCTTTTGTATTCAATTCCAAGAAAGTCTGTAGTAAAAACTATGTTCCCTATAACGATTCGTTCTGGATTTAGGTTCCTATTATTGTTTTTCATAAAAGACATTAATGTGAATTTTCCTGCTCTTGTATTCAATTGCAAGAAAGTCTGTCGTAAAAACTATGTTCCCTATAACGAATCGTCTTGGATTAAGGTTCGTATGATTGTTTTCCATAAAAGACCATAGTGTAAATTTTCTGCTTGTGTATTCAATTGCAAGAAAGTCGGTAGTAAAAATTATGTTCCCTATAACGAATCGTCTTGGATTTAGGTTCTTGTGATTGTTTTCCATAAAAGACCTTAATGTAAATTTTATACTTTTGTGTTCAATTGCAAGAAAGTCGGTATCGTAAACACTATGTTCCTAAAAACGAATCATTCTGGATTTAGGTTTGTATTATTGTTTTTCATAAAAGGCCTTAATGTGATATGACCAACTTTGTCAAAAACAACTAGAGAAAAGTATGAATATCTAAATATGTGATTGTCAATATTTATTTTAATGGTTTCATCAACACAACATGAATCATATTAATTGTGTTTGAAGTAACATTTAAATGAGGTTGTTCATTTTAAAATGAATAATATAAATCCACACATCTCGCACTAGAAAGAAAAAAATCGTGGTCATCATAAAATAAGATCCTAATAATTACAATTTTACCGCAGCTGTTGACCTATGGCTATCATACCTCGTTTACTTTTAAATACACTTGATAGCAATATACTTAAACTAATTCCCAGATCAACAACTTCTTCCGCTTCTAATAATCAATTCCGACTATGCTGTTTCATTGCTTGAAGACTTAGCCAATGTTTTAAAAAAAAATGATAAAAACACAATCAATTTGACTGCAGTTTTGGGAATGGATTCCAATTCAACGACTCCAGACACAAACAAACCTGACTAGCTTGGTCATGGAATCCAATTCAACGATATGTATCAAAACTTGTTAGTGATGCAAACAATCTAATGACAATTCAATTCTATCAATTAAACATTATGTGGAATAAATTGGGGGAAAAAAAATGAAATATCGATGCGTTTAAAATTTTCGTTTTCAATACTGTTTTTTTATATCTTTTTCACAAAAAATCACCAATAATGTACATGTATATCACTTTATTCTAACAAAGCTTTGTTCTACTTTGTTTAGTGCTTCTATTTGCATTTTCTTTAATTGAAAACCGTTGTTTTACAAGGAGTGTTGGTTGAATTTCAAAAACAACTTACATACTTAATTTTTTTCAAGTTACATTATCGAATTTACTTTGAATAGCGATTTAAAGATTTCGTGACTTAGAGTTTTGAGACGACGAGAGATGTTGCATCAAACCAGAAATAAATCTCCTCTGAGCCATTATACTCCAAGCGATGAAATAATTATTATTTTTATAAACATAAAAATCGAAGACAAAACTATAGGCACTTCGAGCAAAGCTCACGAAATAATACCCCGCCACTTGCAAAGTCCATGATTTGCTAAGGAAAATATCAACAATAATTCGGACCAAAAACCAAATGGAAGGTGCACAATAGCATCATAATTTAAATGAAAAAGATTCGGAGAATGTTTCCTTACATTAAGACTGGGGTGTAGGAGAATTAGATACACATGTGTACTATATCATGTCATCCAAAAGTTAATCCAAAAATGATTTCGATGAAGAAATGATATACTAGGTACAAAAGAACATAATGTGATAAATTTAAGGATTTCACAAAATTAGGTGAAACGGTTCAGTAGCAGTTGCGGATACAAAAGTGCGACTGAAGAACGAACGACAGACTCTCTCATCACTATATAACGTCATTTTTAGAAAATGAGACGCATAATAAACGCAGACAGAAATAATACATTGAACTGATAAATTGCTATTCTCTTTAATGTAAAGGTCAAAGATTATTACAAGAACGAGAGGTAACACACAATTTCTTTACCAATAAAGCATAAAGTTCATGGTCAGAAGTCAACAGGAAACAAGAAATTAGTTAATAAAACATTAAAAACCTTTCGTAGTATCATTGACAACATGTAAAGAACACTTTGATAATTTCCATATCAACTTATAACTTATATCGACAGATGTTAACTAATAAAAGATATAGTCATTAGTCAATAGAGATTAGATTTCAAGTACATTTTATAGGATGAAATATCCTGTAAAAATAGCCAATTAAATGAAAATATGTACGCTCGATTGTCATCTAACATAAAATATATCTTTGTAAAGCCTTATATCGCACTTTATATTAACCTAATATAATAATTGTATAATAATTTTGGTATAAAGTTTATCATTTAAAATGGAAAAATGGTCCCATCCCTCGATATTTTCATAATCTTGGTGAAAATATTTTTATACGACATGCTTTACCGATACTATATATATATATATATATATATCGTTATGTGCGACTAGATGTTAAGCAAGCAATGATCAATCTCATAATGTTAGATTACCATAGCTGCATTTGATAAGACCTTTCGGAATTTTGGGTTCTCTTCGTACTTAGTTTGTCCTTTTTTATTCGAGCATCATTGACGAGTCTTTTGTAGACGAAACGCCTTACGTCTGGCGTACAAAATTATAAGCCTGGTACCTTTAATAAGTTGTTTTTAGAGCCATGCCCATTCCAAACAGTCCAAAATTTAGAAAAAGAACTTGATACCAATTTGATAATGTATTGCAGTACATGTATCAATTAGTCAATCAATAATAGTCATATAAAATACAAGATACAGGAACACTTAAAACGCTATTACTTGATAGAAAAACAAAGGATATGATTGTTTCCTTTATGGAGGTGCAATATTTTCCACTTTTGCTCCTACCAATATATTTTTTTCAACCCATACAGACAATTATTTTCTTCCATTGACCTACATCAAGGTCATGTGCACGTTAATACCAAAGAATACAGCAACGAAAAAGAATTAAAAATTTGTAAGGGGTTCCGCGGAACCCTGTGTCTCGCCTACGATTGCTGCTGTCAGTGTAAAAGTGTAATGTTGACTTGAAAAGTGAGTCCATGTATCAGTAAAATACAGAATGTTAAAAAAGATTCAAACTTTCTCTTTAGGTGCTATTTCTTGGTCTTGAAGATTAGCTTCTGTCCAAGTTTCATAACAATCCATGAAGGATAACAAACTTATCATGTAAAAAAAAATTAATCCCAGACTGTCAGTAAATGTTAACTGTAAAAAAGTCCATCTATCAGAAAAATACTGAAAATGAAAATATATTTTCAAACGTGTGCTTCAGACATTATCTCTTAATCATAAAAAAGTTTCATAAAATTCTATAAAGGTTTGACAAAGTATTTGATGTGTAACAAACTTTAACCCCAGACTGTATCTATTTGTTAAATGTAAAAAAAAACTAAGTCCATTTAGCAGTAAAATAGGGAAAATGAAAATAAATATTTTCAAAATTTTGCTTTGGATACTGCATTATGGTCATAAACCAGCTTCTGTCCAAATTTCATCTAACTCCATGTAGGTTTGACAAAGTTATTGATGTAAAAAAAAACTTTAACCACAGACTGAACCTAAATGTTGACACCGCCGACGTCGACGACGGAATTTAGGATCGCTATGTCTCGCTTTCGCGAAAGGCTCGGCAAAAACTACAGATGGACGTTTGTAGGGCTGATGACAACTGTAAGTTTCAACTTTTGGCCTTTTTCTCTATATATATTATTTTTCAACAGTTTTTTTAACTTTATTTTATTTCCTACATTATGAAAAAAGAACTATTTCCCGTCAAATTAAACCTAAACGTAATCAAATATGAATGTTGATAATAAACTGCTATATTGGATGAATCTTAAGATTAGCAGTTTCCATACATTTCATTCATTATGTAAATCAGTTCGATAAAATAGCTTGATGATTCTAAATTAGATTCTCCTAAAGTTTCGTTACAATTTCAATTTACACCATCGATAATTCAATACTAAAACATTAAGGTTTTGAAATTAATTTCCCTTTCTCGTATCATTTGCCATAACAATGTAAATAAAATAAAAACAAATGGAAAGAAATTTCACATTTAGAAGATTTTCACTTAAAAAATAATTAATACAAACTGTGCTTTCACGTTATGTAATTGTCCTCTGATTGTTGTTTACGCAAACGTCCAGTGGCAAATTTTTAAATGCCTTTCTAGTCGAAAAAAAAGTACATTTATACTGCAAGCATGCTATACGTGTAGTCAAATTGTATAGATAGCATAAATATTTGGAATTAGCCATCGTTTGTGGCGTTAACAGTCAGATATATGACGTTAATTCGTCGTTCGTTGGCACTTGTCCCGATCGACCTGGGTCATTTGGGAAAAAACGCGTCATAGGACATTGTGACATGAAGATATTTGCTTTGTTATGTCAAATTTGTCCTGGAAAAGATCGTGTATAACCATACACTGTCTTTTCTTCTTGACATGAATTATAATCGAAATACACGACGAGCCTACCAGTTTAAAAGCCTCGAAAAAATAAATGTTAAAAGTTTCATGTAAGACAATATTTGTTCATTCCAAATATCTTTTTTTAGATTCTTTTCCTATTCAAATTATAATCAAGTTGTTCCTTAACTATAAATGACAATTTATGTAAATTATGCCATATGATGCAAACCTGCCCGACTACTTCCCTATATATTTTCACCAACACAACATTTGTTTTTCAGTGCGCAAAGAGTTTTAGTTCGTTAAATAATTCATTCAATAATGTTCTAAATCTATTACATTGAACGTCATGGTCATCGCAAACTTCATTGCATATTAGTTTCAATTCATGCCATCATAAGTGAAGCTGTGCATTCTTTAACGTTAACAATAACAAATGACGTTGCAGCAGATGCCAAATAACTAAACCCGAATCAAGACTTCATATCAATTATATTACTTGTGCAAAAAAGTTTACAACAAAATTTGTAATAAATGAAAACTAAGTGCTGTGTATGAGTATTACGAATCAGCAACTACCTTTTCAGCGAGTGATATACAACAATGGTGCTCAAGGTCTAGCTTAAGTGGAGTTTCTTGGGTTTTTAGCTTAACTTAACAGCTTGGCCTCTAGCCGTTTGGTATACTATTTTTTAAATTTTGGAGTTTTTCTTCAGATGATTCAGCTTTCAGGAATGAATTCAAATTGCCACCCACAGAATAGGTTTTTTCTACAATTCATTGAATAGGTACTAGACTCCTGTTTTCACGAGAAAAGTCGTACCTTACTTTCGTGATGCTTTCGATTCACATCTGTTTTATCTATTGTATGCAAATTTGGTATGTTCTATTCATTTATACGCTTTTAATCGACAAAGAGCCATATCGCAAGGAAAGCTTTTAAAAGTCCAGGCAAAAATTTTGAACAAAATACATTTCTCTGTGTAGGTCAAGATGAGCCTATATTTAGCACTACAAACTGTTCCATATATAAACTGCTAAAATCGTTCTTAGCATAAATATCTCCTCGTGCGTAAAATAAGTGAACAATGAATGGTGATATGACTGAAACGCTTTACCAGATGATGAAACAAATCAAGAGATGCATCTTTGATTGTCCCTTAAGAATTCCCGCCATTCAAAATTCCAATCTACCTACACTGCATTGAAAAGATCTCATGACATTTTCATTGACAGAACAAATTACCACAGATCTATCATCATATAAAAATTGGTTTTATACGCAATCTTTATGCGATGGACAATCTTGTATTATATTATGAGAAAAAAATAATTACTCTCTGCATGTTTGAATGCTTCCTGATAGATACGCAGTTGTATGTTTCAATCTTAGCCAAAACCTTACCAATTATCTTTATTTCTAGTTGACCTGAGTTTTACTGATATATCCAAAGATAAAAAAAAAATCAGCAATACTCGAAAAATGCCAATCCTACTGGTAGAAATCTTTATATAACTGACAGTGAAAAACAAATGATTTGACCACATAAGATGACCAGTGCACGGATTGACCAATTGATATAAATTTATATGGCATTTTAAGTGTAGGAGAAGTCCGACCTTATAGACATAGATGATTACAATTCACAAAATCTACATACATATTAGTCATACTGAATTCTAAGTATTCTGCACCCGAAAAATACGTTCGACCTTTTCGTTACAACTCGATTTCTTTTTCAGCATGAACGGAAATGATAAATATAATGTATTTATAAATAAAAATTGATACCATTTCAACAACTATAGAAATTGAATAATGATACAATTATAGACTTTTATCTGGTTTGCGATCATATTAAACTATAATATAATGAAAATACACTTCATTACCAGTAAAGATTTATCGTTTGTCAAGACAATAACCAGATAGATCATTAAAAACATACACAAACGGGTAAAAAACCGAGTACCAACCGCTCTGATAATTTGATGTACCCATTAGCAATTAATACATTATTCAATGGAAATATATAATTCACACATCACGGAAAATTTTGATAAAAGGAACATATCGTAAGATACCTATGACATTAAAGGTTTTAATGTTTTCGAAAACCTTTGATAATATTACTTTTTATGTTTTTATTCATAATTTCGCTTCCTACATTTTTACGCAGAAACTTTTATCAGAAGATTTATTCAGAAAGTTTAATTTGGTTGGGTTTTTTTAAGGCATTAGAGTATGTTGACCTCCAATATGGCGGCAAACGGAAATTACTCTAACTCAAAATATGCGAATCGAAAACAATGTTATAAACATCGAAGAACCAGCTGAGAAATAAGCTATGCCATACAAGATATGGCCTGAATAATAAACAGAGATTCATGATTTTTCTTCAATTTTCCAGTTGTAAACTTTCTTTATATTATGTATAACAATAATCCACCAGCATCTATATATTCGCACAATTTCTCTCCTTTCTTTCGATACCTAACATTCTTTTTTTTTTCTATAAGCATTTCTTAGATAAAAAGTGCCCTTTGACCTTGACAAATACTAACTAATAGCTAAAATTAAATTATAACGACCAAGTTGACTGAAACCTTAAATCTGTTTATAAGTCAATCAATTAATCAGGTTCAGTAATCTGCACATTTTCCTTTGATGACTCGTTCGCTATCTGTATCAAAAATGATTAGGCTAGTTTGTTCTGTCTGTCAGTCAAATCCCAGAACTTTTGAGTTCCTTGTTCTTTATCTGTATCATGGACGACCATTGAAATGTCATTTGTGATCGACAAAACCCCTTTTGTGAATTCGTTTTCTGTACTATAGATGTCCATCCACGAATAATATTTTATCGTTATCATAATCTCGTTCTTTTTTCATCGTTCGTTTGTTATCTGCTTCACATATCACCACGGATGTGTTCTAATTCAGTCGACACATTCCCACACTGTTGCCATCGTTTACACGTTTATTACCTGCTTCACATATCACAACAGATGTGTTATATTTGAGTGAACAAATTCCCACCCTGTTTCCATCGTTTACTTGTTTGTTACCTGCTTCACATATCACAACGGGTGTGTTCTGTTTAGGTGGACACATTCCCACCCTGTTTCCATCGTTTACACGTTTGTTACCTGCTTCACATATTACTGCGGATGTGTTGTGTTTAAGTGGACACATTCCCACCCTGTTTCCATCGTTTACACGTTTGTTACCTGCTTCACATATTACTGCGGATATGTTGTGTTTAAGTGGACACATTTCCACCCTGTTTCCATCGTTTACACGTTTATTACCTGCTTCACATATCACAACGGATGTGTTATATTTGAGTGGACAAATTCCCACCCTGTTTCCATCGTTTACTTGTTTGTTACCTGCTTCACATATCACAACGGGTGTGTTCTGTTTAGGTGGACACATTCCCACCCTGTTTCCATCGTTTACACGTTTGTTACCTGCTTCACATATTACTGCGGATGTGTTGTGTTTAAGTGGACACATTCCCACCCTGTTTCCATCGTTTACACGTTTGTTACCTGCTTCACATATTACTGCGGATATGTTGTGTTTAAGTGGACACATTTCCACCCTGTTTCCATCGTTTACACGTTTATTACCTGCTTCACATATCACAACGGATGTGTTATATTTGAGTGGACAAATTCCCACCCTGTTTCCATCGTTTACTTGTTTGTTACCTGCTTCACATATCACAACGGGTGTGTTCTGTTTAGGTGGACACATTCCCACCCTGTTTCCATCGTTTACACGTTTGTTACCTGCTTCACATATTACTGCGGATATGTTGTGTTTAAGTGGACACATTTCCACCCTGTTTCCATCGTTTACACGTTTATTACCTGCTTCACATATCACAACGGATGTGTTATATTTGAGTGGACAAATTCCCACCCTGTTTCCATCGTTTACTTGTTTGTTACCTGCTTCACATATCACAACGGGTGTGTTCTGTTTAGGTGGACACATTCCCACCCTGTTTCCATCGTTTACACGTTTGTTACCTGCCTCACATATTACTGCGGATATGTTGTGTTTAAGTGGACACATTCCCACCCTGTTTCCATCGTTTACTCGTTTGTTACCTGCTTCACATATTACTGCGGATGTGTTGTGTTTAAGTGGACACATTCCCACCCTGTTTCCATCGTTTACTCGTTTGTTACCTGCTTCACATATTGCTGCGGATGTGTTGTGTTTAAGTGGACACATTCCCACCCTGTTTTCGTCGTTTACTTGTTTGTTAACTTCTTCACATATTACCATGGATGTGTTCTGATAAAGTGGACACATTCCCATCCGGTTTCCATCGTTTACTCGTTTGCTATCTGCTTCACAAATCATTGCAAATGTGTTCTGTTTAAGTGGACATATTCCCACCCTGTTTTCATCGTTTAATTGTTTGTTTCCTGCTTCACATATCACCACGGATGTGTTGTGGTTAAGTGGACACATTCCCACCGTTTCCATCGTTTACTTGTTTGTAACCTGCTTCACATATGACCCCGAATGTGTACTGTTAAAGTAGACACATTCCTACCCTGATTTCATCGTTTACTCGTTTGTTACCTGCTTCACATATTACCGTGGATGTGTTCTGTTAAAGTAGACACATTCCAACCCTGATTTCATCGTTTACTCGTTTGTTACCTGCTTCACATTTCAAAACGGATGTGTTCTGTTTAAGTGGACACATTCCCACCCTATTTTCATCGTTTACTCGTTTGTAATCTGCTTCACACATATAACCACGGATGTGTTCTGTTTAAGTGGACATATACTCCCACCCTGTTTGTATCGTAAGCTCATTCGTTATCTGTATGACAGTGGACCATGGGTATGTCTAGTTGGCCGTACACACATTCTTATACCTTTTAATATTCAACTTATTGTTCTTAATCTAGGTTCCTCTAGCCCTTTTTATGGAAAACTTACGGAAGGTACACTCGTAAGTCTTCAACAATTTAGTATAATTTACGATTAATTTTATTCGAAAGATTTTTCTTATAAGAGAGATCGTTCAATATTTTCGTTTTCGCGGGAGATACTAGTATCTAATAATAAATATTCAATAATTGAAGTTTTTAAACAAAAATAGTTCATAACGTGTTTTTGAAAGATGACTCGGGAGATATGTTTGTATGCTGTAGTAACCTTTTCACCCTTTCTATCCCGTTTGTCACTTAATACAAGATTTGACTATAAGAAATATCAGAGGTGCCACATGTTGATAAGAATCTACCTTCCTGTCCGTTTATAATACACCCGTTTTATAACAAGAGTCTGCTTTGATTTTAGATTTTAATGAAGTTTGCTAATATTTTGTTTTAACGATTTATAGTTTCTGATTGCATCTTTATTATCTCCATTTTGGTCTGTTTTATAAGAAACCAGATGAGGACTTCAAACATCATGCCCTGGAGCGAAAACTGGTATATTCATGTTATTTTGAACGAAATTGTCCGCATAAGTCTTTCGCAGTTTTAATTTTCTATACATTGAATCTTTCTTGTCATAGTGTTACAGTTTGAAAATAAGAATTAAATACATAGTATTTAGTAATCTTTCTGTCTTTTGTCGACGCAGATCTTTTTCTATTTGATTAAAAGACACTGCGCTCTAATCTATTTTCCGTTCCGTTGATATCGATCCAATATGTGCATTTTTTTTTATTGCAGATAGTAAGTTGAATTAATTTCAAAACAAATACGAAAGATTTACAAAAGTTCTACTGATTTTATTTTATGTGAACACGATAAAATAAATTGAAGACCTCTAGAAAACCTGCTCTCGGAACTTGAGAGTCTAGCTATCTTCAATTACAGCATGATTAAATCCTTTAATTCAATAGTGGTTTCTCACCTCTAAAATTTCTTTATCTATTATAATGTCAATTTTAGGGCATTAGATTCATGTCAGCTTCTCCAAGCATGTTATCAGATAATATGGCATTAGAATAGCGAAAATTACATTTCCGAGACATAAATGTAATTAAAATCGAGGAATCAAAGTCAAAAATGTCAGTCAAGTCTGTGCTAACGCATTCAGATGGTTTTTATAAATGAAGCTCTGACTGCTCAGATTTACATTAGAAAGGGAACAATCATAGAATGATATTTTTACATTTTTAAATAAATAATTGATATCCAAGAAATAACAGAAAGTTTATATCTGTGTCTGACAAATTCACTGAAGATTTCCACATAGATTTTTAAATAATTACATTACATAAAATTGAGAATGGAAATGGGGAATGTGTCAAAGAGACAACAACCCGACCACAGAACAGACAACAGCAGAAGGCCACCAACAGGTCTTCAATGCAGCGAGAAATTCCCGCACCCGGAGGCGTCCTTCAGCTGGCCCCTAAACAAATATATATACTAGTTCAGTGATAATGAACGCCATACTAAACTCCAAATTGTACACAAGAAACTAAAATTAAAAATAATACAAGACTAACAAAGGCTAGAGGCTCCTGACTTGGGACAGGCGCAAAAATGCGGCGGGGTTAAACATGTTTATGAGATCTCAACCCTCCCCCTATACCTCTAGCCAATGTAGAAAAGTAAACGCATAACAATACGCACATTAAAATTCAGTTCAAGAGAAGTCCGAGTCTGATGTCAGAAGATGTAACCAAAGAAAATAAACAAAATGACATTAATACATAAATAACAACAGACTACTAGCAGTTAACTGACATGCCAGCTCCAGACTTCAATTAAACTGATTGAAAGATTATGTCTTCATCATATGAATATCAGGCACAATCCTTCCCGTTAGGGGTTTAGTATCATACCATCATAACATATATGAGAAGAACATAACCCGTGTCATGCCAACAACTGGTTTTTAAATAAATGTGTTTAGTGCCGATGCAAAGACCTTATAAGTGAATCAATATTAACGCCAAAATATGCAATCTTTAATGACCTGACAACAGTATCGTAACTATATCCCTTCTTAATAAGTCTATTTAAAGGTTTTGTTAGTTTCAGAGGTGAATACTGACATTTTTGTGCTTTATAAAGAATATTTCCATAAAAAATTGGATGTGAAATACCTGAACGTATAAGAAGTCTGCATGTTGAGCTATATTTACGAATGATGTCCTTATACCGATGATAAAATTTAGTAAATGTTTTGACTAGTTTGTGATATCGAAAACCCTGGTGTAATAATTTTTCAGTAATACATAAATTTCTCTCGTTAAAATCTAAAACATTGTTACATACACGAGCGAATCGTACAAGTTGAGATATATAAACACCGTAAGATGGTGACAAGGGAACGTCACCATCTAAAAATGGATAATTAACGATAGGAAATGAAAAATCATCTCTTTTATCATATATTTTAGTATTAAGCTTTCCGTTAATGATATGGATATCAAGATCGAGGAAAGGGCAGTGGTCATTGTTAGTATTAGCTTTATTTAAAGTAAGTTCAACAGGATAAATTTCTTTAGTATACATACTGAAGTCGTCATTATTGAGAGCCAAAATATCATCCAAATATCTAAAAGTATTATTAAATTTGTGTATCAGATGTTGTTTCGATGGGTCTTTACTGATTTTTGTCATAAATTGTAACTCATAGCAATACAAAAAAAGGTCCGCAATAAGTGGTGCACAGTTAGTCCCCATTGGAATTCCGATAACCTGACGATATACGGAATCTCCAAAGCGAACAAAAATGTTATCTAGTAAAAATTCAAGGGCATATATAGTATCAAAGCATGTCCAATTGACATAGTTTTTTTGTTTATTGCTACTAAAAAATGACCTAAAAGAGTTTGAACATATATATTCACATTCTGACTTTTTAAATGCCCATTTAATTAGGTGTGTGAATTTTTTCTTAATGAGAATGTGAGGCAATGTGGTATATAGGGTAGAAAAATCAAAACTTTGAACAGATTCAAAATCACCAATATATGCATGCAATTTATCAAGTACTTCCAACGAGTTCTTGACACTCCAAAAGTAATTAATTCCACTATTTTCGAAGGCCTTATTTGAACAATTTATTATCAGGTTTTTGATTGTACCAAGTGTACTGGTAAGAAGAATAGACAATTTAGTAGTGGAACAATGGCTTGAAGACGAAATGAATCTATATTTGTAAGGTGTTTTGTGTAGCTTCGGAAGCCAATACATAGTTGGGACTTTCATTGTATTTGGTTCTGCTTGTAAAGCGGTAGCTAAAAGTTTATGTTTGTTACAGATGTCGTTTTCTGAAAATGGAGTCAGTTGGAATGTTGGTGAATTGGTGATTTCTTTTTTCAGAACCTCAATGTAAAATTTACGTCAAACAATAATAATATTATTAGCAGCTTTATCGGCCGGGACAAAAACAAATTCCTTGGCTAGTTCTTTTAGTTTATGTTTGATACGAGAAATAGGTTTATTGTGGTTATTGTTAAGAGTAAAATGTTCTTTAAAATGTTGAATACGTATATCAACTATGTTCATTACTGATTTAAAAAAAGAGTCCAAAGATTTTTTGTCAGCTTTTTCCCGTTTTATCCATTTCAAACAGTAAGTATGGAGTGAGTCGTGGATGATATTACGACACTCATTCCAATTAATAATTGACGGGGGACGATATTTAGGTCCTTTACTGAGGAATGATTTTAACTCTCGGTCTTGAACGATGTTAAGATCTCCTGTTATAACATGGGAAATGGGTCCATAAATGTATTCGGAATTACTGCAATTACATGAAGTAGGTGTATTTTCACTGATAATAACATCTTTACACAATTGGCTATAATTAAACACAAATTTCCGGGTAGATTTCTTGTAAATATAACAAATAAGAGGGAGCTCAGTATTATCAAAATATCCCGGAATTTGTTCTTTAACAGAATGGTCGTTAAAAATACCGGCAATATTTACAAAATCAAAACCTTTATTGACATACTTTATTTTAATAAACTGTTTTTTATGATCTTCAGGGCGATCAATTTTGGGAAACAGTTTAGAATAACAATATGCCATTATAATTTGAACGATTTCATACTTAGGACTGCTATATGAAATTGTGTTGCAATCCTCTAAAATTTTATTTATCTTATTAACCGGTAATGAACAGAGCTTTGTTAACAGATAATGTCTGCCGTTGTTTTTTGAAATAGAAATTAAGTCCGAAATATTGGTATGTTTCATTATAAAACGTTATTTTGATTAGCTAACAGCAATCTCGCGTCATTCTGATATTAACATTCATGATGACACGAGCTATCACAATAAAGTGAACAAGTTAATAAAAGAAACACTTGATAGAAATCGTGTTTTCATGATCCTAGCAAAAAAAATGTAATTATAAGTATTGAATGCTTCTTTTAGTAATTTTATAGGGTTGTAAAAGCGTTGACCGTGCGCACATTTTTAGAATGAAGCGCCTCCGCGCTTGATACAAAATGTACTTCGGTCAACGCTTTTACATCCCAATTAATTTACAAA